TCCCCCCTCATACTCCTTTCTATGCATCCAGACCCTTTCAGTTAATGCGTCAACTCAGTGGTATTACGTTCCTCCCAATGATACCTGGTGGGCCTGCTCTACAGGGCTGACACCCTGTGCTCAATCACAAGTAGTCAATGCAACAGGCTTCTGAATGCTCACCCTGCTGTTCCCCCGCTTAGTATATCATTCAGATGAGGAATTCTTGCAGCTTTACCTACAACAAGATCAGGTCCCCCTGTGTGTAAAAAAGACCCCCATAGTTGCAGCTGTGACTCTTGCGCTCTAGTAAGTACGGGAATAGCTTCAGGAATAGGCACGGGAACCACTGCCATCATACAAGGCAATGCTCAATATGCTGACCTATGCATCAGCTTGGATGCTGATCTCCAGTGTTTAGAGGAATCCATAAGTCAGCTCCAAGATTCCGTTAGCTCATTAGCAGAAGTGGCCCTGCAGAATCAGAGAGGGCTGGATCTCCTCTTCCTACAGCAAGGGGGGCTGTGTGCCGCTCTGAAGAATGTTGCTTCTACCAAGACCATTCAGGAGTTATAAGAGATAACATGGCCAAGATCAGAGAGGGCCTAGATGCCAGACGTAAACAGAGGCAGGAAATGCAGGGGTGGTTTGAATCTTTGTTCAACAAATCCCCATGGCTGACTACCCTCATCTCCACTCTCCTAGGCCCTCTCATAATTCTGCTTCTGATACTCACTCTAGGGCCATGCATTCTTAATAGACTAGTGCAGTTCATAAAAGACAGGTTAGGCACCATCCAACTTATGGTGCAGAGACAACAAGCTTATATGCCCCTTAGGACAGATCTCCCAGACACTTATGAACTGACTGACCAGAACCCATGATTGGGTTCCCCAGCTACAAGACAAGGGGGGAATGTAGGACCCAGAGATCCCCCTCATTCAACCCCTCCTGACACCCCACTGATTGCTCTTTTCAGCTTCTGTGTAATGCTTGAAATGCACACCTGCTGCTACTCATCCCCTGCTGTTCCCCTTCCAGGAAACTATAGATTAGCTAAACCCAGGTATGAACACTGCTCTATAGAGTAAAAATAAAGACTCCTGACCACACAGATGGCCAGCACATTCCACAACCCTGAGAACAACCCCTGCCAATAAAAAAAATCTATCAGTTCAAAGGTGTGTTGGGGCGATGTGAGCAGGATTCTTGGACCAACCACAAAGTGATACTGTTATTCCCCTCCTCTCTTTGTTTCTAACCTATAAAGAGCCCCTTCTTCCCCCACCCGGGGCTCTCAGCACGGTTCCGTTATATCAGTGCGGTCTGATAGCCCAAGCTTAAGCCCAAATAAACTATAAACCTTGCTTTTGCATTTTTGGTGTGTTGGGTCCTTGGTGGTCTTCTTGGGGTCCTGTGATTGATATATAACATAACTATGGGGACTTTTAAAGTTGGACTAAATGCATTTTGCATTTTATATGGTCATGAGCCTATGGGGTCAGGGGGTGGAATGTGATGGTTTGAATGAAAATGTCCCTCATAGGCTCCAAGTATTTGGACATTTTTATCCCCACATGGTGGCACTGTTTTGGGAGGTTTCAGAAGGTGTGGCTATCCTGGAGGAAACATGTCACTGGGGGTGGGCTTAGAGAATTCTTAAGCCTTGCCAGATCTCCAGTTGTTCTCTTGCTTCCTGTGCCTGTGTGATGTGAGAGCTTAGCTTCTGCTGCTCCTGGTCCAGCCACCTCCAGCCACCATGCCTCCTTGCCATGACGGCCTGTAATTCCCCTGGAACAGTAAGCTCAAATAAACTCTTCTTTCTATAAGTTGCTTGGGTCAGTGTTTCTATCACAGCAACAGAAAAGTGACTAATACACTGCTATTTCTAAACTTAGAGGTGTAGTTAGCATAGTAAATACAGGCCTTGGGGGTTAGAATGCTAGCATCAATGTAGACTTTGTTATTAAACAGCTATATGATATTGATAGAAGTGACTAAAATGTCTTTGTTCCAATTTCTTCCTCTATAAAATTGCATTATAATGGCATGTATCTCATATACATATTAAATAATTCAGCATTTGGAACCTAGTAAGTATTAAAAACATGATTAGTAATTGTTGAAACTGATATCCTTAGAATTTGCTAATGACATTCTGAGAGATAATAATAATATCTGGAGAGTGATGAGGTAAAAATTATAAAATGGCACACTAGAGAACTAGGCATAAAAGAGGACTCTTCCTTTATGTGGTTTATCTGATGGCCTGTATCCTACAATGGAATTACAGTAAACTTGTAGATTTTAATTTGGAGATAGAAGTTATATTTTGAGGTGAGTAGAAGGTTGTTTCCAAAAGTAGTACAGTCCCTATGCTAGAGAGCTTCAGTTATCAACTTAACACACTTGGGTAGAGGGAACTTCAACTGAGGAATTTCCTACATTGGATTAACCTGTGGCCATGTATGTGGGGCATTTTATTGTTTGTTGAGTGATGTGGGAGGGTCCAGTCCACTGTGGGCAGTCACTCCTGGGTAGGTGATCCTGTGTTGTATGAGAAAGCAGACTGAGCATGGGTCAGGGGAGCAAGCCAGTATGCATCACTCCCTCATGGTCTGTTTTTCATCTCATGGTTCCTGTACTAATTTCCCTCAGTGCCAAATTGTGATGTGGGAGATGTAAGATAAACATAAAACCCTCTCCTCCTCAAGTTGGTTTTGGCCAGTGTTCTTATCACAGTAATAAAAAGTAACTAAGACAGAAATTGGTACCAGGAGTGGGGTATTGCTGTAATGGACCTGACCATATGTGTCTGGGAGGACTGTGGAAGTTTTTGGATTAGAAAAGTGCTTGAAACTTAGTGATTTGTTCTGTGGAAGTTTGGAGAAATGTAGGTGCTAGAGGCCTAGCTTGTGCAGTTTCAAGGGAAGCAAAGATTATCAGGGCTGTTTGTATGTTATTTTGAATTGAGAATCTGTAGTTTCTGGTCAACTGGGGCTGAAAAATCAGTGGTGATTAAGAAGAGACCAGCTGGGTATGGCTGCTCAAGCCTTTGGTCCCAGCACTTGGGAAGCAAAGGCAGGCAGATCTCTGTGAGTTCAAGGCCAGCCTGGTCTACATAGTGAGTTCCAGGCCAGCCGGGGCTACAGGGAGGCCCTGTCATCAAAACAAAACAAAAGAAAACAAACAAACAAACAAACAAAAAAAGAGACTAGCACCACTGAAATAAACCTTTGTTTTACTGGGACAATTGATAGTAGTTAGATGGGGTTGAAAAATCAGCTGTAAGTAACAACAGACCAGCAACACTGTGGTAAAATGTTCTGGGAAGTATTTCCTCAGGGTCAGCACACAGAAACTGTAGCCTGAGGGGACCTCAGCCTACATCTCAAGCTGGAAGCAGGACTTGGTAATGTGTAAAGTCTCCTCCATGGTACCAGTATTTAAGGTGTGAAGGGGTCATGGAGACAATCTGAGGCTTTGCACTATGAGAGGTCAGGAGAGTCCACTGGTGAAGGTGCAGCATCAGTTTCAGTAGAAACACCAGCATATTGGAGATGCCAGGACCATGGGATGACCACCAAGGCCAGCAGTAGGTATAGAGTGGAGCTGGCCTGAGCCTAAAAGACAAGTTGTATGCACTGTGGATGGCAGAGCCAGAGAAGTGAAGCTGCCCAAGCCCTCTGGAGCCCAGAAAATCATGAGTGAATACTAGATGTTTAGCTTTAACCTACTTTACTGGACTTCAGTTTGCTTAAGTGTGCCCTATTCTTCTCTTTTGAAATAAGACAGTATTTACCTTGTTTTGGATTTAACAGGAGCTCAAAGTTAAGAGACTTTGAACTTTTAAAGTGTTTGAATTTTTAAGGACTGTGGGACTTTTAAAGTTGTACTGTTGTATGTTAATTTGAGATTTTTGGGATAAGAAATGGAAATGATATGGCTTAATAGTGATGTGTTTTTGCATCAAGTTGGCAAGGGGTCAATTGTGCTAGATAGCTTCAGCAGTCAACTGGACACACCTGGGAGGCAGGAATCTCAATTGAGGAATTTCCTCTATTGGATGGGCCTGTGGTCATCTCTGTGGGGCATTTTCTTGATTGTTGAGTTATGTGGGAAGGCCCAGGCCACTGTGGGCAGTGCCACCCCTGGGCAGGTGGTCCTGTGTTATGAGAAAGCAGGCTGAGCACAGGTCAGGGGAGCAAGCCAATAAATAGCATTCCCCCATGGTTGGTGCTTCAGCTCCAGGTTTTGGCCTTGAGTTCCTGCCCTAACGTCCTTCAGTGCTGAACTGTGACCTGTGAGATGTAAGAGAAAATAAACCCTTTCCTCCCCAAGTTGGTTTTGGTAAGTGTTTTTTTTATCATAGCAATAAACAGTAACTAAGACAGCAAAAATGGAGAAAAGCAGAGCCCTAAGAAAGCCTCCACAGATCTGCTCACTTGCTTCAGACCTCTCCTTTTTATACTTTCTTCATCTGAGTTCTAACTATAAGCAGCACACCCAATGTTAATATTATCCTTGAAAAGACAGGTAGCAAAACTGCCCCATTATTACAGCAGGAAGCTGTAATTTAATTGATTCCACAGTGTTCTAATTACTGTATTTTATAGTAAAAATTTTCACTTATAGTGTATGCTTAAAAATAAAATCAAGCTGGGTGTGGTGGCACATACCTTTAATCCCAGCACTTGGGAAGCAGAGGCAGGTGGATCTCTGTGAGTTCAAGGCCAGCCTGGTCTACATAGTGAGTTCCAGGACAGCTGGGGCTATAGGAGACCCTGTCTCAAAAAGACCAAAAAATAAATAAAATAAAATAAAATAAAACAGAAATTTCATAATTACTTACATAATTTTGTGCTTAAAAATTACTTGATTATCTGCATCACCTATGATTAAGGTAGCATAGTGAAAATCTGGTGCTGTTCTTTTAGTCTGTAGCTGTTTAAAGTTTCTTAATATAACAGTCACTAAGATTTCTGCCTTGGTATCACTATATCTTGCAACCTTCAAAAAAGAAAGGTATAAAAATATTTTAAAATAATCTTCCTACTCATACTCAGCTTTAATTCTAGTTATGAGTAGCTCTACTATTAAAAAGACAGTCAAAATATTTAAGAAACAGAAGACATTCACCTGTTCTACTTCAACTTCATATTTTGGTAGATACATCACAGCTTCTTTTATCTGGGTTCCAAAAGGTGGATGTCTACTTAAAATCTAAACATATTTACAGCATTGTATTATTTTTAAAATATTGATTTGAGAACTTCATACAATATATTTTAATCATATTCTGACCCCTTTCTACCTTCCTCCCACTTTACTATCCCCTGCCCCAGACTTCATGTCCTTTATTATTATTTGTCTTTTTTTTTTTAAAGGCCTCTGTTTAATCCCAAGTTCTCTTGGATGTGGGTCTATCCCTTGGAATCTGATCAATTTACCAGGCATCACAACACTAGTAAAGAAAACTGACTCTCCCTCTCCCAGTATCCATTAGATGTCAATAGATGCTCAGCTAGATTGGGGCTTCCTACTTACCTCCCCTATCTATGTTGGGCCCCCATCTGGCTTGGGTTTGCACAGGTCTTATGCATGCTATAGTAAACGTTGTGGATTCATATGTGCAATTACCCCGTGGTGTCCAGACAACACATCTACCACTTCTGACTCTTAAAAATTTCTACCCCCTCTTCCACAATGATCCCTGAGCCTTAGGAAGAGAGAATGAAATATAGGTGTCACCATTATATTCTTAACATAAACACTTAAAAATCTTATTTAAATATTTTTTAGGGGGCTAGAGAGATGGCTTAGTGATTAAAATAACTGGCTCCTCTTCCAGAAGGCCCAGGTTTGGCTCCCAGTATCCACATGGTAGCTAATAACCATAGGTTACTCCAGTTCCAGGGAATCTGACACCTGTTTCTGGCTTCTGCAAGCATACACTGGTGCACTTACATAAATGCAGGCAACACACCCATACTCATAAAATAAAATCAACTTTAAAAATGTAATTTTTTTAGAATACATAGGTTTAATAATAAAGTTTGTGACCCCAAACCTTAGTAATTAAAATACTTTTAACTATGAAGAAAATAATTGTGTGTGTATAATGTATATAGTCATACACGTGCATGTGTGTATGCATGTGAAGACCAAAGATCAACATTGGGTGTCTTCCTCAATTGCTTGCCACATTATTATTATTATTATTACATTTTTTGAGACAGGCTCTCTCATTGCACCTAGAGTCCATGGACTTAGACTAGCTAACCAGCAGGTCTCACTATCACTGATCTCCCTGTCTCTGTCTTTCCAGTGCTAGGATTACAGGTCTGTGTCACTGTGCCCAGTTTTTTACTTTGGTCCTAGAGATCTGAACTCAGTTGTCTGTGCTTGAGTGATGTGCACAGTACTAACTGAGTCATCTTCCAAGCTCCAGGAAATTAATTTTAATAGAAATAAAGTCAGAAAAGGTAGGTTTTAGAGGGTGGAGAGATGGCTCAGTGCTTAAGAGCACTGACCACTCTTGTAGAGAACCTGAGTTCGATTCTCAGCACCCACATGGTGGCTAACAACCATCCATAATTTCAGTTTCAGGGGCTCCAATGCCCTCTTCTAACCTCTGTATTGAACAACACGGGTGCACTTATACACATGCAGGCAATACACACTAAAAGGATAAGCCAGGGATGGTGGCGCATGCCTTCAACCCCAGCACACAGGAGGCAGAGGCAGGTGGATCTCTATGAGTTCAAGGCTGGCCTGGTGTACATTGTGAGTTCCAGGACAGCTGGGGCTATGGGGAGACCCTTTCTCAAAAAGAAAAAAAAAAACCAAGAAAAAACAACAACAACAAAAATCTGTTAGGTTTTAGAATTTAAATAGAATTCAGTAACATTAGGAATAAGTGAATACTACATACCAGTTCAAGCTCTCTTGCACTTGTTTCTTCTATTTTTTTAAAAGAGGTCAAACCTGCATTTACCATGGTATTTGACAATGATATGCCTATGGAAAATTAACCAAAGAGCAATTTTTAAATAATACATTTTAAATGAAATCTGCACTTTAATGTTTAGCAAGCACCTACATTAATAAAAATTTTGAGCTGGGATGTAGCTTGTTGGTAGAGCAATTGCCCAACATGTGTAAGGCCCTAGGGTCAGGCCTCAGCACTGCAAAAATTAATCTCTGAAAAGATTCAGTCAAATATCTAACAGCTATGATTTGTATATTGTTGAGTGCATTCCCCAAAAGGTTGTGCGCTGAAGTTCTTGGTCCTCATTGTGGCAGTGCTAAGCAAGTAAAACATTTAGAAGGGAGGGCCCAGTGGAAGGTAATTAGATCACTGGGAGTTTCATCTCAAAAGTGAATTTATGCTAGTGTAGTGGAAAGGGTTGAAGCTGCCAGGAGTGAGTGGTTTCCAAAAAGAAAGATGTTCTATAAAAAGCAATCTCAGCACCTTCCCAGTCTTTTGCTTCCTATTTGTCTTTGTGATCTCTTCTGTATGAGCTCCTGCCATTTTGATGCTCATAAATCAAAGGTAAAAAAATAGAAACTGCTGGAATCCTTAAATCTGATCCTAGTTTTTATGAATGGTAGCTAAAACAGTTTATTTAATACATACTCTGCACTAGGTTCTAATAGAAAGTAATCAGAAACAACCTTCTGTCTACTAAATCACTATGAAGATCAGAACTATTATTATTATTTATAATCTTTTTTTGTCCTTTTTGAGACAGGGTCTCCTGGTAGCCCCAGCTGTCCTGGAACTCACTATGTAGACCAGGCTGGCCTTGAGCTCACAGAGATCCACCTGCCTCTGATCATTTAATAAGAGCAAATAAAAATTGGGTTTTCAAGCACAAAACACAGTACTTTATTTAGACCCATTAACATGTACTTACTTTAATCACTACAGAATAACATTAATAGTAAAATATAAAAGAAATTGAAGACAGTATAAACTACCTACCTGTATTTTCTACTTACCAATTTTATCTAGTTGTTTAGATACATGTTGAGAGTTTTCCCAAAGTTTACACTTAAAACATTTAGCTAAAATTAAACTGTTCAACAGCACAGCAAACTTCTTTTCCTGGGCAGCAATAAAATCTGACAGCCCTAAAAAAAGTTTTCAGTATTAAACATAGTATGATTATTTACTGAAAAACATTAAAATTCACTAATGATTTAACATACATCTTGCAATTCGTGAGCCATTTCTGAAAATCTTTGAAGTGTCTTGTGTCAAAGCAAAATCTTGTATAGGAATGCATCCTAGCTGAGCCTGAATAAGACTGGAGAAAAACATATTTAATTATTTCCTTTTAAAGGTTCACAAAGTACTTGACAATACTGATTTAGTTTTCCTTCTTAAAAATTCTCTCTTACCCGTTATTGTTCTAAAATGATGGATAAATTTATTTTCTCCCCCTATCTAGAATCCTTTGAGTAGGAACTGACACTGATTCTAACCACTCCGACAGCTATCAAAATACTTGAAAGCAAATCCTGAATCCATCACTCTCAAGACCAGCCTTGGCAGACAAAAGACAAATGAGGAGGAACCCAATAGAGGGATGCTTTTGGAAGCTCTTGTCAAGAAATCCCAATGGACTCTGATATGAACATTTGAAATTTGCCCTGTTCTGACTTTTTTCTGGTTCTCCGTCTAGAACTTGTAATGCTAACTATTCTTGCCTTTACTTCTCCTTGACATCCCCTATTCACCAATCAAGGACCTTCTTTTCTCCCTACAGATAAGAGTTAT